GGGGTTGAAGAGTCGGGCTGAGCCAGCGCTGAGGGATCTGGGGGAGTTGGGAAGGGTCAGGGGGAGGGTCATGGTTGGGCTGGAGGAGCTGCAGGGGCTTTTCCAACCCAGAGGATTCTGGCATTCTGTGACGGGGTCGGGGCTGGTGTGAGTGTCCCCTCTCTCTGCTCAGCGCTTCTACGAGGCGTACAGCCGAAACCCTGCCAGCGCCGTGGAGGAGCAGATCGAGGGAGCGCGCCGGCGGGTCAGCCAGCTGCAGCTCAAAATCCTTCAGGAAACTGGTGGCTCCCTGGTATGTGAAATTAGTGGGGTTACCTCCAGTTCAGGGTGTCTGTGATCCCTCCCGACTCCCTCTGAGCCTGGGGAGACCCTCCCATGGTGGTGGGGACAGCAGTGGAGACATCCCTGGTTTCCAAAAGCTGCTGCCTGTCCCTGGCCCTGTGTCCAGGTGTCCCCACGTGCTGGGGAATGTCCGCCTGGTCCAACACAGCTCCTCGTGTTGCAGGATTCGGGGCGTCTGTGCAGCGACTCCGGCTTGGCTGGGTTCAGGGTGGTGGAAGGTGAGTTGTTCCGGCGTTTCGGAACATCCCCATGGCTCCATCTCCTGAGCAGGCAGCTCAGTGTCTCCTCTGCTCCCAGGACGCCTCTCCCTGGACTCGCAGGACGGTGACAGCGGGTTGGAGTCCGGGCCAGAGCGGTTCCCCTCTGTGAGCGAGGTGAGAGTGCGGTTACCCCCATGGGGAGCCCACCCCAACTTCTGCTGGGCCCTGGGAGTGGGGAGGAAAGCCCAGGTGGACGGGTCTGGGCCTCCTCGGGGGTCGAGGACCTGCCTTTGACATCAGAGTGATTTGTTTGTTATCAGAACAAACCAAATTCCTCACAACGCGCCCTCAGCTCTGAATTTCTTGGGCTTCTAATGCATAGTTTGGCGCGACCACCCTCAAAATGAAGGGTACCCCGAAGTTTTTGGCTTCTGGTCCTAATCTAAAAGTTTTTGTGATGACAGTGGAGGGTTTTTACGGTTTCCAAATTCCTTGGGCCTGTCTCCCTTTATGGTCTTTGACCTGGAAACCTCTCTGGAGGCGGCCCCGGGTGCCTGTGCCCGGTGGGCGAGCGGCAGCGCGTGGCGTGGAGCCCGGCCACCGCCGCCTGCCCCTGAGGCCTGTGCTGCCGTCCCGAGCAGAGCTCCCTGAACCGCAACTCCGTCCTCTCCGACCACGGCCTGGACAGCCCACGCACCTCCCCGGTCATCAGCGCCCGCCTCTTCCAGCACCATCGCCGCCAGGGCTCCGACACCCCCTTCCCCCCCGCTGCCGAGCAGGTGGGCTGGGGCTGGATGGGGGGTCCCGCTGTACCCCCAGGGCGTTGGGTGGGTGCTGGGCCCTGTCGGAGGAGGTCTGAGCCTCCCTCAGGAGCTGGCGGAGGGGGAAGGTGTGTGTCCCTCCCACCCCGAGCCGAGCGTCTGGCTCTGAACCGTTCCCTCTCCCTGGCAGGGGTTGGACCGGACAGGACGGCCGCTCATCATTGGGCCAGAGGAGGATTATGACCCGGGTTATTTCAATAACGAGGTAACGGCATCCAGAATATTCTTGGCTTTTGTCCCTCATGAGGGGACAGGGCTGTCCCCCTCCCACCCATGGTCGTGGCATTTAGAAATAATCCTGGGGACATCCAAGGACAGGCAGGTCTGGGGTGAGGAAAGGGCTGTGGGAGCCGGGGGTTTAACCTGGTGCTGAGCCTTACGCCAGGCCTGATCCAGAGGAGTGAATTCCTTTCCTTCCTAACTTGTACCAGCGCCAGCGTGGCCAGCAGGGACGGGGAAGGGATCTGAGCCCTGGGCTCGGCACTGGGGAGGCCGCCCCTTGATTCCTGGGTTCAGTTTTGGGCCCCTCACCCCAAAAAGGCCATTGAATGACTCGAGCGTGGCCAGAGAAGGGCAACGGAGCTGGGGCAGGGTCTGGAGCACAGGTCTGCTGGGGAGCGGCTGGGGGAACTGGGGGGGTTCAGTCTGGAGGAGGCTGAGGGGAGACCTCCTGGCCCTCGGCAACTCCCTGCCAGGAGGGGGCAGAGAGGGGGGATGAGTCTCTGGAGCCAAGGCCCCAGCGCCAGGCCCGGAGGGAATGGCCTCAAGCTGCCCAGGGCAGGGTCAGGCTGGCTCTGAGGAAGGATTTCTGTGCAGAAGGGGCTGTTGGGCGTTGGAATGGGCTGCCCAGGGCAGGGGGGAGTCCCCGGGATCCCTGGGGGGGTTGGAGAGTCGGGCTGAGCCAGCGCTGAGGGATCTGGGGGAGTTGGGAACGGTCAGGGGGAGGGTCACGGTTGGGCTGGAGGAGCTTCAGGGGCTTTTCCAGCCCAGATGATTCTGGGATTCTGTAACTGGATCTTTCTCCTCTGGTCCCTTCTCTGCGCAGTGTGACTCCCTTTTCCAGGACCTGGGCAAACTGAAATCCCGGCCGGCGCATCTGGGGGTTTTCCTGCGCTACATCTTCTCCCAGGCAGACCCCAGCCCCCTGGTAAGGGCCCCGTCACTGTTGCTGCTGGGGACACAGACACACACACACACACACACACACACACGCACATGAGACAGCGTATTTGGCACCGTCCCCTCCTCCAGCTGAGCGCGGGGTGGTGCTGCTTTGCTGAACCCATCCTCAAAGCTCTGCCCGAGGCTCGGGCAGCTGCCTGCACTCTGGTTTGCCTGCTGCAGGCAGCTGCCAGCCGGTGGTTTCCCAGCTGTGCCTGCACGTGAGAGGGAAACACAGCGTAGGGTTACACTTCCTCCCCTTCCTCCCAGGCGTGGCACGGTGGGGTGCTGCCCTCCCCAGACCCCGGTGATCGTTTCCTGTTTCATGGCCGTCTGGGCGCCGCTTTCCCGAGCCTTTTCCCCTCCCTGCTCCAAACCCTTCCTCCTCCTTTGCTGCCCATCTCCACTCTCCCCTCCTTGCAGCTCTTCTACTTATGCACGGACGTTTGCCAGCAGACGACAGCCAAGGATTCCCGGGTCTTGGGGAAGGACATCTGGAACATCTTCTTGGACAGGAACGCGGTGAGGGCAGGAGGGCAGGACAGGGGATCAGCACTGGGTGTCGCGGCCCTCGCACGGGGATATTTTTAACGGGTTTTTTTGCCACTGACATTGCTTTTGTTGTTGCTGGTTCCTCCGCATCGGTGCAAGTGGTTGCGTAAGGCTTGTACCCCAGGCCTTGCACAACTCCAGCTGCCCCGCTGCCTGGAAACTCGGTACAGGCAGGAGGGGAGGCTCCTGGCAGCGAGGACGCGGCTCCAGGCGCTCCTGTTAGTGCTCCCGGGGGTCCAGAGCCCCCCTTGGAGGGAAGTGGGGTCCTGTTGAGCTGCTCCATAGGGGGTTGCATGTTGGGTGCTGGGTGCTTGGTGTGGGAGATCCCCAGCTCTGGCCTCTCTGGCTGCAGAAACTGCCACGGGACGACAGTGCAGGAGCACAGGGCACCCTCTCCGTGCTGGTTTGAGCCCATCTCTGGCATGTGCACTGTGTCCCCAGCTCCGTCCAGCCCTGCTCGCTGCTTGGGGAACATAAACTGGTGCTGAGCTGCTCTTATACCAACACTGGCATGGCCAGCAGGGACAGGGGAGGGATCTGAGCCCCGGGCTCGGCACTGGGGAGGCCGCCCCTCCATGAGTGGGTTCATCTTTGAGCCCCTCACCCCAAAAAGGCCATTGAATGACTCGAGCGTGGCCAGAGAAGGGCAACGGAGCTGGGGCAGGGTCTGGAGCACAGGTCTGCTGGGGAGCGGCTGGGGGAACTGGGGGGGTTCAGTCTGGAGAAGAGGAGGCTGAGGGGAGACCTCCTGGCCCTCTGCAACTCCCTGCCAGGAGGGGGCAGAGAGGGGGGATGAGTCTCTGGAGCCAAGGCCCCAGCGCCAGGCCCCGAGGGAATGGCCTCAAGCTGCCCAGGGCAGGGTCAGGCTGGCTCTGAGGAAGGATTTCTGTGCAGAAGGGGCTGTTGGGC